CCCAGCTTGGATTTCCTAGTTTTTAAAGACTTCTTGATATTTTATTGCATGTTTAATACTACATTCTGTTTATCTCTTAATCTGTCCACGGCCATTTGGGTTGTTTCCGCTCCATCGGCTATGGTGGAAAGTCCTACAGTGAGCACACACATGTATACAAATAGCTCTTGGAATACTGCTTTGAATTTCCTTTGCTATATACCCAGAAGCTGGAGTTCTGGATCATATCATAATTTTATTTTTAATCTTTTGAGAAGCCTCCATCCTGCTTCTGTGGAGGCTGCACCATTTGGCACTTCCACCCACAGTGCACTGGGGTTCCCTACAGTTTCTCCACATTGTCAACGCTTTTTTTTCCCCCTAGTTCTTTTGAGGGTGTTGGGGAAGAAATCTGAGTAGTTTTTTGTCTCATTGTTTTTAATTTCTGAAACACTCTGTAACCCTGGGTGATGTGGAACTCTATATATCCCTTACTGGCCTTCAAGGTAATCCCCCTGCCTCCATCTCTTGAGTGCCAGGATTATGCTGACCTGACTATAGTTTGCATTTGCATTTTATTGGTGGTTTTTGTTGATGCTGAGCAAACTTTCATTGGTTGGCTGACCATTTTCCAGCCTCTTTTTTTTCTTTTTTTTTTTTTGTATACAATATTCTTTCTGTGTGTATGCCTGCAGACCAGACCTCATGACAGATGGTTGTGAGCCATCATGTGGTTGAACTCAGGACCTTTGGAAGAGCTGGCAATGCTCTTAACCACTAAGCCATCTCTCCAGCCCCTCTTTTGTTCTTTGCAGGTACATGTGGTGTGGGTGTGGGTGTAGTGTGCACGTGTGCATATGCATGTTGGGGTGGGGAGACTCACATGTGTATGCAGGTGTGTGTGGAGGGATTCTTCCTGAATCACTTGTACCGAGAGCTCATCAATTCAACTAGTCTAGCTGTCTAGCTGGCCAGCTTGCTGAGGGGGTTCCCTGTCTCCACTTCCAAGTGCTGGAAGTGCAGGTGGGTTGGCACACCTGCTTGGCATTGCCATGGGTGCTAGGCTCAGGTGCTAGGACTCAGGTCCTCAACAAGTGTGCACATGGAGCCATCTCCCCGGCTCTTGTTGTATTTTTTCTAATTTATTTATTATGTATATAATGTTCTGGGCACCAGATTTCATTATAGATGGGTGTGAGCCATCATGTGGTTGCTGGGAATTGAACTCAGGACCTCCGGAACAGCAGTCAGTTCTCCTAACCTCTGAGCCATCTCTCCAGCCCTCTCTTGTTGTTCTTTCTTTTTTTTTTGCTTTTTTTTTCAAAGTTTATTAAATTATAAAAGTTTCCATTTCCGGTCCTCCTCCCAACTCCCTCCCACTTCCACTTCCCCCACTCCCTCTCCTCCTCCCTCTCCATCCCTAAGAGTAGTCAGGGTTTCCTGCCCTGTGGGAAGTTCAAGTTCCTCCCCCCTCCCTCCAGGTCCAGGAAGGTGGGTATCCAAACAGACTGGATCCCAAAAATCCAGTATATGCAGAGGAAACAAGTCCCAGTGTCATTGTCAATGGCTTTTCAGAAAGACTCCGGGCCAGCCACATGCAGAGAATCCGGTCACATTCAGAGACTCTGGTTGGATCACGTGCTCGTTCAGTTCCAGTCCAGCTGGCCTTGGTGAACTCTCATTAGATCAGTCCCCTTGTATCAGTGGGTGATGGCACCCATCGCAGTCCTGATTTCTTTTTTCATTTTCTTCATCCTTCTGCTCCTCATTTGGACCGTGGAGGGCTCAGTCCGGTGCTCCAATATGGGTCTCCGTCTGTATCGCCATCCAACGTCGGATGAAGGTTTCCTCTGCTCTTGCCTTCTTTGTTCACGTTCTCCTTCCTTCTGCCTCTCGTTTGGACCTAGGGAGCTAGGTCCAGTGTTCCGACGTGGGTCTCTGCCTCCATCTCCCTCCATCGCCAGAAGAGGGTTCTATGGTGATAAGCAAAATGTTCATCAGTATGGTTATGGGCCAAGGCCAGTTCAGGCACCCTCTCCTCTGTCCAGAGAACAATCTGGGGATCTCTCCTTGGACCTGGGATCCCCTTTATACTCAAGTCTCTTGTAAACCCTAAAATGACTCCCTTAGTTGAGGTATATACTTCCCTGATCCCATATCTATCCATTCTCCCTCCCCCCTTGTTGTTCTTTCTTGAGACAGGGTCTTGTTATGGACCACCCCTGTACCCGATTCTAGTTTCCTTTTTAGAAAAGAACTTACTATATCATCCAGGCTGGTCTCTAACTTTTAGGCTCAAGCTATCCTTTTGCCTCTGCCTCCCAAGTGACTGGGACTGCAGGCGCTCAACGCCACATCAAAACTCAAATGGTTTCTTTTTGTTTGTTTGTTTATTTGTTTAATTGGTTTTTTAAGGCAGGATTTCTCTAAGTAGCCCTGGCTATCCCAGAACTCGCTTTGTAGACCAGGCTGGCCTCAAACTCACAGAAACCCACCTGCTTCTGTTTCCCAAGTGTTGAGATGTACGGCATGTGCCACCAGGCCAGACCATTTTGTAGTTTTTCTGTTCTAAACAACTGCCTTGCTTCTGAGTTTTACTGTCACGATTTAAATGACCTTTGGATCGGGCAGAAGCAATGGCTGAGGAGACTTGGCTTCCTTTCTCCATGTTCCTCTGCCTCCAACGAAGCCCATTCATTGTCTTGCTCTGCTGTTCCTGCTAGCTCTTCCAGAATACAGTGAGAAACGGACCTTAAGTAATAGGAGGTTATTTGCAAGTGTTGTTCTGTTTCCCTGAGCACAATTGTTCCCTGTTAATAAATGAAACTGATTGAAAACTCTTTGGGAACCCTCAGGAGTAGGCAGAGTTGGACTGTCTGTTCCCAGGCACCAGTGGTGACTGATAAAAGCAAGAAAATGGTCCCTTGTCAGCCCGACAGCCCTCCTAAGGGGCTCTCTTTGAAAAGTGAGGGTTTCATCGTTCATCATGTGTGCCTTCCCATGAGCTGAAAAGTTGTGACCACCTCGAAGCCCAGCCATTCACAGAGAGCTGCTTCAACCTTCTCTTCAGTCAAGTCAGCGAGCCTCTCTCTAAATGGAACCACCAGGCCTTCCCTGATGACACTTCAGGAGTGACAGGATTGGCGAGGTTGAGAGTCCTCGTGAGTGATTCTTTTTTTTTTTAATATTTTATTTTTATGTGTATCGGTGTTTTTGCCATGAGTGTTAGGTCCCCTGAAACTGGAGTTACAGGCAGGCATGAGCTGTCATGTGGGTGCTGGATATTGAACCCAGGTTCTCTGGAAGAGCAGACAGCGCTCTCAACAGCTGAACATTTCTCCAGCCCCTCTTGGTTTTGCTTGTTTGTTTTTAATGCATTTGGAGGGGCAGACATGCCACAGTGCGTGTGTGGAAGTCAGAAGACAACTTATGGGAGCTGGGTTTTTGTTTGTTTTTCAAGACAGGGTTTGTCTGTATATAGCCCTGAGTGTTCTTCTGGAACTCACTCTGTGGACCAGGCTGGCCTTGAACTCGGTGATCTGCGCGTCTCTGCAGCCCAAGTGCTGGGATAAAAGGCTCGTGCCACCACTGCTGACTAATCCCCAAGATTTTTAAAACCAAGCAGTCTCTTGGTATTTAGCAATGGGCTTGAGGAGGACCTCCCCTCAATGGCTTGTTATCAGCAGACCTACTATGTACCTGGTTCAGTCCAAATTTATTATGAAAAAGCATATGAACTGTATTATGGAAATTCTTACAAAATATATACCATGTGTGAGGAATTGGGTGTCACGAAGGACCCCAATAGGATACAAAGACAAACCCCAAATGGAATACTCTGAAGAGGAAAAAAATCACCACAAGGTAGCCTGCGGCGATGCTCACTTCTAGGGCCCGAGGGCAAGAAAAGACTTTTCAGGACTCCAGAAAGGCCTGTAGGTAGTGTCAAAAGGATGCCCGAGGGAAGGGATTCAGAATCCTGCAACCAGAGGAATGAACCTTGAGAACAGGTGAAGAAGTTAAAAGGCCAAGTGTTGTGTTTTCATTTATACAAAAGGATGTATTTTTATTCATACAAAAGGCAAAGGGACAGTTGGGCAGGTGGTGGCGGCGGCGCACGCCTTTAATCCCAGCACTCGGGAGGCAGAGGCAGGTGGATCTCCGTGAGTTCGAGGCCAGCCTGGTCTACAAGAGCTAGTTCCAGGACAGGCTCCAAAGCTCCAGAGAAACCCTGTCTGGAAAAACCAGAAGGAAAAACAAAGGCAAAGGGACAAAAGGTAGAGCCAGGGATGCTGGGAGATGGGGAAAAGGAGATGACGTGGCGGTGAAGAGCACGTGCTGCTCCTGCAGAAGACATGAGCTCAGCTGTCAGCTCCCACATAGCCGCTCACAACATCTAGGACTCAAGTGCCAGGGATTCTGACACCCTCTTCGGACATCTAAGGGCACTGTACACATATGGCACTGTTGTGGGCTTGTTTTTGTTTGCATTTTGTTTTTTTTTGTTTTTTCAAGACAGTGTTACTATGTGTAACAGCCCTACCTGTCCTGGAACTAGCTCTTGTAGATCAGGCTGACCTCGAACTCACAGAGATCCACCTGCCTCTGCCTCCCGAGTGCTGGGATTAAAGGCCTGCACCACCACCACCTGACGCCTTCCTTCCTTTGTTCATTTGGTTCAGTTTGTTTTTTTGAGACAAGATCTGGTTATGTGGCCCTAACTGGCCTAGAACTTGCTGTGTAGACCAGGTTGGGCTCCTCAAACTTGTAATAATCCTCCTACCTCTCTCTCTAGAGCTAGAATTACAGGCCTGTGCCACCATGTTTGATTAAGCCGTAGTTCCTGCATCTGCAAAATGGGAACAGTTTTCAGCTGGGCATAGTAGTGCACACCTTTGATCCCAGCACTTGGGAGGCGGCGGCAGAAGGATTTCTGTGAGTTCAAGGCTATCCTGGTCTATGTAGCGAGTTCCAGAACAGCCACAGTTACATGAGACCCTGTCTTGAAAACAAACAAACAGAAAGAAAAGAAAAGGACTAGTTTTCTTTTTGAATCTTGGATTTCATGTATCCCAGGTTTGCTTCAAACCCACTCCGTAGCCAGTCATCGTGTCTCTACCTCCCAGGTGCTTGGATTGCAGGCATGCGCCTCTACACCAGCTTCTGTTTCTATACCAGGTACTGAACCCGAGACCTTGCACTCTGAGCAAGCACCCGTCCCCCTGAACTCCATTTCCAATCCCTCCATCCTCTCATTTCATTTGCTCGATTTAAATGTATTTATTTATTATTATGGTGTCTACATATGCGTGCTGTGGGAGGCGGCACACGTGAAGTTCACACGTGACAGTTAGAGACCACTTCGTGGAATCAGTTCTCTCCTCCCACGTCTACGTGGGTTCTGGGGATTGGTCTCAGGCCACCGGGCTTGCAGAGCAAATGCTTTCTCCCACTGAGTCTCATCATTAGCTCATCCTTACAGAGAAAGAGAGGGAGGCCCACAGAGAGCCATGAACCACGTGGTCAGAAGAAAACTGGGTGAGTCAGGAAAAGATCTCAGTTTGCCGTCTGAGTGCCCCCATGGAAGCGGTCAGCAATGGCTCCTGTGTTTATGTACTCTGCCTCGGGCAGCCCAATCAGATTACAGATGGGACGAGAGCAAGGGCCTCAAAACCAGGTTGTGTTATGCATACAGCAGGTGTTAATAAGTGCTCCTGGGTACACTTGTGAGTTACTGCCCTTGCCTAATGGACCAGGAGTTCCTCAGGGGCTAAGTCTGTGCCGGATTCCTCTTGGCTTTGCCAGGGCCTGGCACAGGCGCCTGGCATAAATAAAGTGTTTAATAAATGTTTTATATGTATTAATAATTAACACCTGAGGCTATTTATAAACATCTCTGTGGGAAAAGCCCAGTTGGGATTGTGGCCTGTATCAAAAGTTAAATTCTCAGCTCATTTACCAAAGGCTGTGTCAACACAGGCTTAGGATCTCCCTCAAGAAGCCTAGCTTTGTTTAGAGTGATACAGTAGTGTCAATATTGTCCATTTAAGGTAACCATTTTTATTTTAAGTAATTTCCATTTTTCATCTCTGGTGAGCAGAATGCGGTGAGGGTCGGGTTCTGCTGGTCCCTGTGAAGGGGGACCATATTTGGAAAGAGAGTCTTGGCAGCAGTAACCAAGATCAGGTGAGGTATTTCTGAATTAGTAGAGACCCTCAAGCTGGAACTGGTGATCATCTAAGGGGAGAAAAACAAGACGCAAACACAAACCCAGGTAAGTGGTCACGTGACACAGGCAGGTACTGGAACAGTTTGTCCACAAGCCACAAGGGCACGACGGGGCCGACGGGCAGAGGCAAGAAAGATCTTCCCTGGGCTTTCAAAAGGAGAGCCTTAGAGACCTCCGACAGTGTATCTTGCTTCGGGAACCGGGAGATAATAAAGATCTGTTGATTTAAGCACAGGGTTTTGCTAATTCGTTACCCAGGAATAAGCACAAGGACCCTAGGGCTAGACTACGCCGAGAGTTCCGAGAAGTGCACAGAACACATTCCAGAACCATCTCTCTAAAGGGCGAGAGCCCCCCCCCAGCCCCCCACCTTTGCTCACGGGCTTCCCTCCTATCCATTACTTCCCTGTGCTTCAAGACAGAGGGGTGAGTGGGTGGCATCATCTGGTGCTGGAGGTGGATAAAGCCAGACGTAGAATGTGGGGCTACCCGCTGCTACAGGTATCTGCTGAGGTGTGAAGGGAGTTGGGCTTCCGCCCAGCTGTTCACTGCACCTGCTGCACAGATCACAGGTAGGTCAGACAATTACGGAGGGGAGCAGCATCCGCAGAGTTACAGAGTCAACAGCAAAAGAAAAGACAAGACTCTTCTCAGTAACTATTACTAATTTTTGTCTAGGAGGGAAATATTGAGACAGGCTCCCCCTAAGTGGCCCCGGTCATCCTTCTATTTGCCATGTAGTCTAGGTTAGCCTCACATTTATGTGCCTGTGTTCTGCCTCCCATGTGGGGGAATTACCACAGCCGGACTAAGAATTTCAAGATAGTAGTTGCAGAACATTAAAGCAAATACAGGGTATTTCTAAGAATGGGGCTCCATGCACTTACATAGGCTACAGCTTAGGCAGAGCCCAGGGGAGCTTGCTCTAAGCACCGTGCACCCCACACCATGCTGATGTTTCACACATTCAGTGAAAGGTGGCATTACCAGCTGAAGCCTAGTTTGTACACCGTTCCTCCGCAGTAGGAATGGATTTGGAGAAGTGGATGTTGCTTCCTAGCTAAGGAGACCCCAGACTGACATTGGGACTTGTAGGCGATACCTGAGAATCACCTGGAACCTAAATTACACAGCATTCAAATTATTATTATTATTATTATTATTATTATTATTGAGATAGGGTCTCTTTATATAGTCATGGCTGTCTTGGAACTCACTATGTAGACCCGGCTGACCTCAAATTTACTGAGACCCACTTACCTCTGCCTCCCAAGTGCTGGGATGAAAGGCGTGGAACACCATGCCCAGCTCACAGTACTCAATTACTGTGCAAGGGTTTTCCCCAAAGTCTCACTTCTGTGTGAACATGGGGGCTCAACTTTCCTGCCCGCCCCCTCTGACATCTGTGCTCACAGACCTGACAAGCAGCTGATATTTAGCATGGGCTCGGCTTCTGCTGCCTTATTCACTACACGTCTGTCCAAATGCTACATTTATCTTATAATGTCTTTCTTTACACCAAGAAACCACTCATAGGAAATTTGAAATGAATTGTCGGGGGACTGGGGATGTAGCTCAGTGGACAGAATGCATAGTTAGCATGCACCAAGGCATACTTAGTAGCATACTTGTTGTAATCCCTGCTTTTGGGATGTGGAGGCAAAAGAATCAGAAATTCAGGTTAGCCTAGTAAGAAATGTTTTTTAAAATGATGAGGCCGCCGGGCAGTGATGGCACATGCCTTTAATCCCAGCACTCAGGAAACAGAGGCAGGCGGATCTTTGTGAGTTTGAGGCCAGCCTGGTCTACAAGAGCTAGTTACAGGACAGGCTCCAAAGCTACAAAGAAACCCTGTCTCAAAAAAAAAAAACAAAAAAACAAAACAAAAAAACGAAAAAAAGCAGGGCCTGGAGAGATGGGCACTGGCTGCTCTTCCAGAGGTCCTGAGTTCAATTCCCAGCAACCACATGGTGCCTCACAGGCATCTATAATGAGATCTGGTGCCCTCTTCTGGCCTACAGGCACACATGGAAATAATGTGGTATACATAATAAATAAATAAATCTTTTTTTTTTTTTTAAAAAAAAGATGAGGCTAAAGAGAAGACTCAGTGGTTAGGAGCACTTGTTGCTTTCACAGAAGACCAAGGTTCCAGCCACAGGGTAATTTACAAACATCTGTAACTCCAGTTCTAGAGGACCTGACACCCTCTTTTGACCTCCACAGGCACCGAGCATTTACACAGTGTGCATATACACCTGTAGACATAGGCACCAGACATGCATGTAGTGTGCAAGCGTACAAACAGACAAAACGCCGACAAGCAAGATGAAGAGAAGAACAGGGGACTAAGCCTTCAGACTGCTGACTGTGCACTTTTCCTGTTACCCAGGCAGTACTTTCTATGGGGCCTGGAGAAGAGCAACTCCATCCCTGAACTCTTGGCTCAGAACCAGAGCCACCTACACCTTGCAAAGTAAAGTAAGAAAGAAGGCACAAGGCTGCTGGGCAGTGGTGGCTCACACCTTTAATCCTAGCACAGTGGAGACTGAGGCAGGTGGATCTCTGTGAGTTCAAGGCCAGCCTGGTCTACAGAGCGAGTTTCAGGACAGCCAGAGCTATTACACAGAGAAACTTTGTCTCTATGGGACACTGAGAAAGGCATTCAGAAGTCTACTTTATCTAGTATTTAAACTCACTTCTCAATTCTGCTGCAGTGCAAGAACTTGAAAGGGTTAAGGACTTCTGTCCATACCAGGTCTACCCTCTGTGACTGAGGGGTCTTAGGCAAAATACTTCACACTCTAAACCAGACATGATGGCACAGGCCTGTCGTCCCAGTACTCAGAAAGTAGATATGAATAATTCTTCTTCAAATGCACTGAGAATTTTAGGGGTGCCAGGTGGTGGTGGCACACGCCTTTAATCCCAGCACTTGGGAGGCAGAGGCAGGTGGATCCCAGTGAGTTTGACTACAAAGAAAGTTGCAGGACAGCCAGGACTGTAACACAGAGAAAGCCTGTCTCAACAAAAACAAACAAAACAAAAACAATAAATAAATAAATAAGTAAATAAATGGGAAGAAAAAGAAAAGAAAGAAAGAAAAAGAATTTTAGGGAGCTGGAGAGATGGCTCTGCAGTTAAGAGCACTGGCTGGCCTTCCAATAGGACCCAGGTTCAATTCCCAGCACTCACAAGGTGGCTAACACCTCCTAGGGATCCAGCACCTTTTTCTGGCCCCCATGGAAACCAGTCATATACATGGTATACAGGTAGACATTCAGGCAAAACACTGTACAAATAAATCTTTAAAAATAACAAAAAAATTTAGGGGTTAGGAATGTAGCTCAGTTGTTAGACTGCTTGATCAATCATGCATGAAAGCCCGAGTCCTAGCCCCAGCACTGCATAAACTGGTTATGGTGGTTTATGCCTATAATCCCAGCACTAGGGGGTGGTAGAGGCAGGAGGATCAGAATTCAGAGTTCATCCTCAGCCACCCATCAAGTTCAAGGCCGGCTTAGACTACCTGAGACCCAGTCCTGGCAACAGCAGAATCAAATGGGGATCTTCGGAAGCATGCATTACTAGGTCTCACATGTTAGTATGCATGCCGGCATCTGTACTGGCCTGCCCTTAAGATCCTGACAGGATACATCCTCAGCTGCAGTCACTAAGAGCACCCCTTCTCTCTCCTCTTCCAAAAAACCTCCTGTGTGAGCCTTGTTGCATGCCTTGACTTCTCTTGTGGCGATTGAGCCTTTCCCTTGAGGCTTCAGTGAGGGAAGACTATCATCAGCTTACTGGGGGTTCAGGAGGTTTGCTCCAAGACTCCAGTCTGAGGCAAAGGCAGGCAGATCTCTGAGTCTGAGGCTAGCCTGGTCTACAGTGAGTTCCAGGGCAACCGGGGCTGCACAGAGAAACCTTTCCTCTACTCCTCCCCCTGACAAATAATAAATAAATAAATAAATAAATAAATAAATAAATAAATAAATGAGTTCGACAGAGCTGGCAGGCCTGTCAATGTGCTGTGTTATATAGCAGTATTTATTTTTCTGCAAGTTACACTACAGATTCATTCATGTCTTTGGATCTGCGTGGTTGGTTTTTTTATGTTTGTTTGGTTTTGTTTTTTTGGGACAGGGTTTCTCTATGTAGTCTTAGCTGTCCTGGAACTCACTCTGTAGAACATGCTGGTCTTGAACTCACAGAGATCCACCAGCCTCCGCCTCCTGAGTTCTGGGATTAAAGACATGCACCATCGCCACACCTGGCCTGCGTGTTTGTTTTTACTTACAAACAATTTACATTGTATATGTTGAATAACTTGGATCTCCTTCCATATATGATTTTTTAATAACTTGGATCTCAAAGGGTTTTGTTTTGTTTTTTTTCTTTTTGGTTTTTCAAGACAGGGTTTCTCAGTAGCTAAGAAGTTAGTCCTGGAACTCGCTCTGTAAACCAGGCTGGCCTTGAACTCAAAGAGATTCACTTGCCTCTGCCTCTCAAGTGCTGGGATTAAAGGCATGAGCTACCACCACCTGGCTTGGATCTCACATTCAATGAATGATATACCCTTTTACCCAATCTATCTTTCCAAACATCCATCTACCCAGCCAGCCAGCCAGCCCATTCATCCATCCATCCATTTACCCATCTATCCACCCCGCTCCTCTACCCTTCTACCCATGCATCAACCATCCATCCATCAACTCATCTGTCTATCCCTCTGCCTTTTCCCATACCCACACATCCATCAACCCTCCCTCCCACCCACCCATCCAAGCAATATCCCAAGTGCCTCTGAGGGGTCAGACCTACTAACAGATGAAATCATTGCACTATGTCATGCTTGCAAACGACTGGGAACTGGGGAGAAGGATCAGTAGGTAAAACACAAGTATGAAGACGTGAGTTCAGATCCCCAGCAGCCTTAAAAAACAGCCAGACATGGTAGTGTGTGTCTGTAATCCTGGTGCTGCTATAGCAAGAAGAGAAGACACAAGAGTGCCTGGAAGCCATGGGCCAGGCTGCCTAAGAAACATGCTTTAGTGCTGCCCCCTAAAAAAAGTTTTTTTTTCTAAATATGATTGTATATTACAATGTATACTACAATTGTATATTCACAATGCCTTTTCAAACACCACTAACCATCCCTCTCCCACAGCAAGTACAGAAAGGGAATGTGGCTTCCTTGAAAATAGTACTAGAAGGCGGGTGGTGGTGGTACATGCCTGTAATTCTGGCACTTGGGAGGCAGAGGCAGACAGATCTCTGATTTCAAAGCCAGCCTGGTCTACAGAGTGAGTTCCAGGACAATAAGGGCGAAAAACTAAAATCAAAAATAATAATAAATAGAAAAGAAAAAAGAAAGGATTAAAGACAGACAGACAGACAAATGGAAAAAGAAAGAAAGAAAGGAAGGAAGAAAGAAAGGAAGGAAGGAAGGAGAAGGAGGAGGAGGAAGAGGAGGAGGAGGACAAGGGAGGGAGGGAGGGAGGGAGGAACTAGTACTAGAATGGCTGGCATCCTTAGGCACTGAATTTAATTTTGAACTTCCTGTGAGTCCAGGTAACAATGAAACTGGGTGAAGGATCTGTTAGAAAACAAATTCATTAACTCTTCAAGAGAGATGTACTTTGTTTTGTTCACTTTTGTTTTTGAGACAGGGCCTCTCTCTACATAGATTTGGTTGTCCTGGAACTCACTATGTAGGCTAGACTTGCCTCTGACTCACTGAGATCAGCCTGCTGGTGCCTCTCGACTGCTGGAGTCAACCCCGTCTACACTTTGTTCTCTTGTAGGTAGCAACGCAGAACAGAGGTTACCGACACTTACCAGCAAGTCACTGGTTTTGATTGTTTTGATTTTTTTTTTCCAGACAGGGTTTATCTGTGTAGCTTTGGTATCTGTCCTGGAACTCGCTCTGTAGGCCACGCTAGCCTCAAACTCACAGAGATCCACCTGCCTCTGCCTCCCATGTGCTGGGATTAAAGACATGTGCCACCACAGCCCAGCTGGTTGTTTTGATTTTTTTGTTAGCATCTTAGGTAGCCTAGGCTGGATTTGAACTCTCTAGGCAGCTGAAGATGACCTTGAACTTCTGATCCTCCTGCCTGTGCAACTCGAGGAGTGTGGGATTATGGGTGTGCACCACCTCCTTTAATGCCAGGTGTTGACGAGTCTAGCCCAGTGCTCACTGCCCCTCCTTCCCTTGGATACCAGCAGGGAATGCAAAAGCATGATCTAATGGCAAACCGTGAGAACGTCCCATCCCCACTCCCTTTCATTGAGGCCAGATGGAACCCAAGGTTGAAAGAAACAGAATAGGCACTGCAGGTTAAGAAGAAGGCACCACCAGCGGCGTTGGTGACGGCAGCAGGCACAATGCTTCCACCGAGTCTATACCCTCACCCCTGCACTAGGCACATCTGCCTTCATCTTGGAGCCATGGGCCTCTACCAGACCAGACCTCTTCATGCAAAGCTAGAACCCTTTCTCCTGAGCCCAAAAGGAGGGGGAATGGATATCCCTTTAACAAGGAAAGAAACTTTGGAGGGGGAGTCTGAACTGCATGCTACCAACCGGGGGAGGTGGAGGTCAACCAGGAAAGATGGAAGCCAGGGAAATGGAGAGTCCTTGGCAAAAGTGCTAAAGACCAAGGTATATCCAGTGCCCTGTGGGCATTACAAGCCCTCAGAAGCTTGGTTAATGACATGGCCTGAGAAAAAGCAACACTCTTGATTTAACTCAGACCATTAGGCAAAAGAGAATAGAGAGTCTGCCTATGGAGGCAAGATCTTACTTTCCAGTTCTTGCTTGCCTGGAAGGCCAGGCTGGTCCCCAACTTACAGTCATCCCTTGCTCCAATCTCTCAAGCGCTGGACTTACAACTGTGAGCCACCAGGCCTAGCCTGATCATAAATACTAGGAGGGAAAAATATGTTTGCTGTAACCTTTGTGAACTCATGTTACTTCCTCTTAAATATAGAAGCATACAGAGCTCTTATTTCCAGTCTGTCAGAACTCACCTCTGGCTTTCTCATCAGCACGACTTTGCCAGTGTGCAGAAGTTGCGCCTCAGGAGCCACCCTTCCATACCTAACTTTGTCTCCTCACCTTCTTTTTCCCATTTCACAGCAGTGTCTCACTCTGCCACTCAGGATGGACTAGAATTCATGGCAAGCCTCCTACCCCAGCTAGAATCGCACATGTGAACCACATCTGCCTTTGTCTTTCCTGCCCTGTAAAAAAAAAAAAAATTGTAATTTTCAGTGTGTGATTGCAGGCACATTCATGCCACAGTATGCATGTGGGGCTGGGGCTCCAACCCAGGCTACCAGTCTTGCAGGGCTGCAAGCGCCTCACTTGCTGAATAATGCCGACGCTGTCTCCCTTCAGTTCCCAGTCGGCGCAGCTCTGCTTTTTCTGGTTTTGCTTCTTTACTCACCACGTGTAAACGGAGTTAGACATTATTTGTCCTTTGCTTCGCTAAGCCTTTCTTTCAATGTTCGTCTATACTATGACAATTCAGAATTTCCTCTTTTTAGCGATGTGCATGCGTAAGTGTGTGTGTACAGCTGGGCATGCCCATGCCACTGCATAGGCCAGGAGAGGATGAGGGTGTCCTGCTTGGTCACTCTCTACTTTGACTGAACTGGAGGCATTTTTTTTCCCTCTCCTAGACTAGTTGGTTATCAAGCCCTAGTGACTCTCTCGTCTCTTGCCCCACTAAACTCCACTCTAGTGCTAGGCAGCTATGCCTGGCTTTCTATCTGGGTGCTTTGGATCTGAACTCAGGTCTTCACGTTTGTGCAGCAAATGTTCTTATCCACTGAGCCATCTCCCTAGCCCTTCATTCCCTGGTTTGAGACAGGGTCCCACTATGTGTTCCTGGCTGTCCTGGAACTCATTATGTAGACCAGGATAGCCTTGTACTCACTGGGATCCACCTGACTCTGCTCGCCACGTGCTGTGGTTACAGGTATGCAGCACCCCACGTGGCCCTTTATTTGTTTTTAAAGGCTGAATAATAAATAGTCCACATTTTATTTATTCATCTGTCACTGACAGACACTGTGCTGTTTTCACCTTTTGCTTGTTGGGAATGTTACTATGAATATGGGTATATTTACAACCATGTACGCCTCTACTTTCAGTTCTTTGGGGACATATAGTCAGAGATGCACTGCTGGATCATATAGCAATTCTATGTTAACTTTCTAAGGAGCCGCCACTCCCACTGTGGGGAACCATTCACACCCCCATCAGCACTGCACACGGGCTGGCTCCCATTTCTCCACATCATTTCCCCTTCTGCTGATGACAGTCATCCCAGTGGATAATTAGTGCTATCTTACTGTGGTTTTCATTTGTAGTTCCCCAATGACTGAGGCTGAACATTTTGAGAGCCTGCTTCTTGGCCATTCGCACATCATCCTCAGAGAAGTATCTATTAGTCTCTTTATATTTTTAAAATTTAAAAGGGGCTAGAGAGATGGCTTAGCGGTTAAGAGCATTGGGCTGCTCTTCTAAAGGATCCTGGTTCAATTCCCAGTGCCTACATGGCAGCTCACAAACCGTCTGTAACTCAAGTTCCAGTGGATCTGACTCCCTCCCACACAGACATACACACAGGTCAAAATACCAACACGTTAATAAATAATTTAACATTTAAAGATTTTTTACTTGAGTGTGTATGTATGCACACACATGTGGGCACCCTTGTAGATCAGAAGAGGGCATCAGATCCCTCAGAGCTGGAGTTAGGAGTGGCTGTGAGCCACCCTATGTGGTTACTGGGAACTGAGATCAGATCCCTCTGGAAGAGCAGCAAGTGCTCTTAACTGCGTAGCCATCTCTCCAGCATTGGGTTTTTGTTTTTTTATTTTGTGTGGTGGGCATGCTATTCATGATACATGCATGGTGACCAGAGGACAGCCTGGAGGAGTCAGTTTGTCCTTTCTAGGTTGTCAGGCTCGGGGGCAAGAACTTTACACACCGAGTCATCATTGCCTGCGCCAAAGTATTACCCGGGTCAACACCATCTAGGTGGTTGCCAGATTCGCCTGTCTCAAGAAGCAAGGGACGAACCTGGGACCTCATCTAAGCCAGTCCAGTGTTCTGCACATTGCGCTGCTTCCCCCAGCCTAGGTTCCATATTTTTAAAAAGCAGGCTGTCAGGCAGAAATTTGGAGTAATTTTTAGTTCTGAAATCATAAGAGCGTAGTGTTTTCTTATGGTTGTATGAATTGTGATACATGTGCAGGGGTCTGAGGACAACTTCCTCCACTCTTTCCTCTTCCTAGGCATTGGGGATCGAACTCAGATCCTTGGGCTTGGCAGCTCCTTTGCAGACTCAGCCAGCCCTCTGGGTCCACCATAGTATTTTTTTTTCTAAAATGGAATTCAAAATTAGACTGGAGGAAAGCTGAACAAGCAATGGGAAAAGGCAGCTGGCCGCGGTTTTTCGGTGAGAATAAAAGACCACGAAGGGCAAAGATCTGAGAAACAAAGAAGCAGGAGCTTCCACTACTACAGAACCAAGCAACTCATAAAGCAGGAACTGGTGGCACAGGAGCCTGGGGTATGCTGCAAGGTCAGTTTACAAGCAGGTCTTGGGCCCCACAACCTTGAAGTGAAGCTGCTGGGGAAGCAGTGAACTCTTTTTAGAGGAATCCTTGAGAACACAAAGCCCTGGAAGAGGGAGGGGTGAGGGGTGGGTGCACACCTGTGAATTCTCTCACCGAACATCGAGATGCTGAGTTACTTCGTGACTGACCAGTCCCAGGCCTATTAGGGGCACGTAAAATCAAGATGTTTGAAAGGGACCGTTCCAGCGCTGCCATTCAGAAAAGGTTTGTAAACTAGTTTTAAAACCAGTAGGACTATAAAACAATCATAGAAACTCCACATTGCCGGTCTTGCGGGCGGCATCTGGGTGTGCACTTTAGCAAACAGGCCGAGATAAAAGTGCTCTCCAGAACGCACAGCGCTGGGTTCAAGGACTCAGAGGCCTCACGCGGCCCACGTCCGCTATAAATTTCTCCGGTTCTTAGGCCACACCGCTAGAAGTGGCTCTCTGAATGGCGGTTCCTGTGACCTTCAAAGTTGTGACATTAGACCCCCTCCTCTCGAACGTACAACCTAACATCTCAATCCAATCGCTAGCACCCCAAAAGATTGAAAAACAATTGCACCCAAGGGCTCTGCTCAGCGCCACAGGGTTCCTTAGAAGCCGCGCGCCTAAAGTCTGGGTAGTAAGCTTGGGAGGCCCTGGGCACAAGGAGCTGGCTCCCTTCCGGGGACAGCGCTCGGATGTCGCAGGTCATGGCCAAGGAATCCAGCCCAGATGTTGTCTAGTCTCTGGCGGCCGCAGTGCCCCATCGTCGTTGGGAGTCCAGATTCCAACTGCAGAACACCGAGACACTTGTGGACTCGAGAAAGGGCACCGCGCAAAGCGACCCTCGGGCCCCAAGGCCTCAGAGAGACCCAAGGCAAAGCTTTCAAAACAGCCCCAGCGACATCCAGACAGCAGAAAGACACAATTTTTAAATGTGTAAAAACATTTGGCTTCTCGTAGCGAACACACCGCGACAAGTTCCAGCACACAGATCGGTCTCCGCGCGCACCCGCAACCGGCACGGTCTCCCGGATCTGGGATCGGGGAACGCAAGTGCCCCCTGTGGCCGGCCCGCGCCTGACCTCGCGGGCCTGGGACGGCACCGGTGGCCTGCGCAGGGCCCAGGAGGAAGTTGGAGCCTCGGGGCCGAGTAGAGGGCAGGTCGGCTGCACGGGCGTGGTGGGGGCCCTACCGAGCCGGGGCCACCCGGGGGACCGCGGCGAGGCCCGCCGGAGCTCGCGTCTCCCCACGTGGCGGGCCCCACGTGGAAGGGGCGGAGGAGGAAGGAAAGCGAGGGCGGGTGGAGTCACCGCACCGGCTTCGGGACCCCCGCGCCTCCCTAGAGCCTCTAGGGTGGCGTGGGGTTGGGCCGGGGAGTGTCTGCCTTGCCCGGCCCCCTCTGCTGCCCGCTGCGCCAGTGTGCACTTTCGCGTAGCCGCTAATCCCTGGAGAGAGCCGATTTGTAGTGAGAAGTATCTGTAGGGGCGAGACCGGACCATGTGGGGTTGTGTCATTGGTTTGCAAAGAGAGACCCCGCCTTTGAAAAAAAAAGCGAGCGAGCGAGCGGGGACCCTCACCTCGCCTCCCGCCTCGCTCCTGCGCAGCCAGAGGGCACCGGAGCAGCGGCCCGCGCCGCTTCCGTCCTTCCCTTTCCTTTTCTCTGCGCTTTCCTCCTCCTTCCCGGGAGGAGAAAACAAATAAAGAAGAGCAAAT